GAATCTCAAAGTAATGACTTAGAATCAACAACTACTAAGTGTAAAGGTCGAAGGTAGCTGAGGTCTATATACACGAAAGTAGAAGCGCTAAGGACTCGTGAACTATGGTTCATAAGTTAAAAGCGGAGAATAAGAGAATACGAAAAATGCGAAAGAAAAAAGGAAAGAAGTAGCTTAGCGCATGTAAGGTGCGTCCAAGAGACCTGGCGTATCGTCAAAAGACTTAGCGTATCGTTACACAAGAAACCGACGATTAGTAAATGTGATTAGTAAATATAATTAGTAAATATAATTAGTAAATATGATTAGTAAATATAATTAATAAATATAATTAGTAAATATAATAAGTAAATATAATTAATAAGTATTATTAATAAATATAATTAATGAATAAGATAAATAGAAGTATTTTTGTAAAATACAAAATTTGTAATTAATCGTGAATTCTATTCTACATAAACTTAAGCATTGAGTTTAAGAATGATCTCAATTCCGTATCGCCATCCTTAACGCTGTAAAACAACTCCGGAGCTAGCTCGTCCTTTTTCCAAATCAATTGCATAACGCGTTGAAATAAAATAAGATCGCAATCAGCTTCTTCAAATTCAGCATTCTTTTCGAATCCTTTCATATTCTACCAAGCGGCTAAACCCGGCAATTCGTATTCAATCTCATCGGTATTTGCTCTAATTTTAGCTCGCCAATACTTCTTTTCATCAAAGGAAAAGTAAACGTAAAGAAGCTTGATTGAATAAAGACTAAAAGTTATAATATTAGTTCAGTTGATTAAAAGCATAATAAAATGAATTCTTACTTAATTCGTTTTGAAACCGTGCTTGCTAAGTCCCAAGCCATCAATTCAAGGAAAGCTTCCCCACTCTTTAAATTAGCAGCTCGGCACTTCTTTGTCAAAGACCGCGCTACACTTTGCCAGTAGCGACGAAATTGCCAAACGGTCATCATATAGCGTAACTTTATATTATTAGCAAAATATAAATATTTAAATGAAATAAATGCTTACCCATGCGTGCTGACGTGCTAATTGCCGAGTGACCTTCTCCATCTCTTCATCGGTAATCGAGACGTATCCATCGCGAGGTATATCACCATTTTCTTCTTCGTCTTTTCGCAAATTAAATTCCTTATAAACCTCTTCGTTTGAATTGAATGCTTCATCAACCCAATCGCTATTCAAGTATTTTCCATCATTAAATCTAGTTGTAAAAAAAGCGGCTTGCATAGCAAGATTATCCGCGTGGATGCTTCGATTCTTTTTAAAATCGATTAATAAATTGCTTAATAAATCAAAGAAAAGAAAAAGTACCGTTCATCCATAAGATTCTTTCGCATTTCGGCCCATCGAGTTTTCCTTTCAGCTTTTGATGCTTAAGAATATTCTAAAGTTTGTTTCCAAATTGCAAAAAGCTGATTAACGGCCGCTTGATCTCGTCCTTTAGCTTTTCGAAGCTCATCTGCTTAAGGATCTTGTTTCAGCTTTGCTGTACGAGCATTGGCCCTTATCGTATAAAGATTGGTTAATAATTGGCCTTTCTCTGGCCTTCCTCTCTAAAAAAAATTAATAAATTAATAAAGGTTAAAATACTACGTAAAAAAGATACTTACTTTGCGCTTGCCAAGGTTTCCTAGCACCGGATTGCTTGCCGCCACGATTGCCGTCGTATCAGCCGCATTCTAAGAAAGACGTTTTTGATTAGTAAATAGATTAGTAAATAAAAAAATGATTCTTACTACAGATTTTTCAATCCCTTCCATCAAATCAAGCTGATCTGTATTTGCAATGATACCTTCCATCGAATCAAGCTGATAAGCGGCCATATTGAATAGTATTATAAAGAAGCCAAACGTTAAGAGTAATTGTTTAAAGTAAAATCAAAGGTAATAGAATAAAAGTGTTAAGATTAAAAGTGAACTCGTACATTCTATTTTTAAAACATCCCAGCGCGGCCGCTAGTGAATTCACGAAGTGATAAGGCAGCCGCAGCTAAGATAAAGCGGCCGCCCCGCGCAATTTTTACCTTACAAAGTAAAGTCTGATTCCTTTCTACTATTACCTAGTAATCAATTACAACTATCGCTTTCCTATTTGCTACGCCTTTAAATACAACGCTATTCATTGCTTTGTAAGGTCGTCCCTTTCTTATTTAAAATTATCAACTTACTGATCGTAAACTAAATTATCGCGATCAAGTCCCTCTACCAATACTTTTAAATAGCCTCTCTACCAAACGAACCTTTGCTTTCGGACCGACCTCCCTCTACCGATATACCAAGCACTACGGCTAAAAAAGATGACGCAAGCCAAGATAAGTTAATTGATAAAGCAATTGAGAATCAAGCGATTGAGGGTCAAGCGGCTGAAGGTCAAGCGGCTAAGGGTCAGGCGGCTGAAGGTCAAGCGGCTGAAGGTCAAGCAGATAAGGACGAAGCACAAGAAAGTGAAGCAGATACAATACGCGGCGAAAGCGTAGAAGAAGAAAACTTAAATTTGCAAGGTGAACAAAGTAAGTTTATATTTAATTAATCGGAGTACTACTAATACTTTTTCAGTTACTTTGCCTAGCGCAAATCCTTATCTTCAGTCTAGCAAAGCTCAATTGGCTACGGATGCGCCAGACCCTACTTTTGCTAAGCGCCGCGCTACTACAACTCGACAGCTATCCGATTAGTATTTGATTAATAAATTAATTAGTAAATCAATTGCAAATAGCTGACAAGCATTTACAGAAATTCCTGACCCTACTTTTGCTAAGCGCCGCGCTACTACAACTCGACAGCCATCCGGTTAGTATTTGATTAGTAAATTAATTAGTAAATCAATTGCAAATAGCTGACAAGCATTTACAGAAATTCCTAAAACCCCGCGCAGTATTGCAAGTCCACAACAAAGAACCGATTTATCCCCGTCCCCTTCTCGCCGAATTTCTCAAGGTCAAGCTAGTAAGTATTAATTACTTTATTAATTAATAATTGCTAATTTCTATTATTTTAAGTGACGCTCTTCAAACACCAACAAACTCTCGCGCAAATACAAACTAGCACTTATTATCTCCTAGACCTCGATCCGGTAATGTTTTTGACTTATGATTAGTAAATATTTACTAATCAAATTTTTCTTTAGCAAACGCAGTCAGATATACTCCGGCTATTCAATCCGAAATAAACAAAAGCATCGTTCCTAACAATACTAGCATGAGTACCAATAGCTTTCAGTAAGTTTAATCTTTTTAAACCTTTTTCTTTCGTTCGCTAATTGTTTTAAAACTGCTTTAAAAGCAACACAACAATCGACGAGCCAAGCGAGTGCATCAGCTCAGCTTCAAAACGAAGATCTGTCTTACGACCTAAGTGCTAGAAACAATTCTTCTGCAGCTGCTGAACCTTCTTCTGCTTCTACTAGCAATCGCACTAAAAAAGCTTTCGCGCAAAAAGCTCTTAAAAGGTCTCTCACTATCCCGGGCCCAATTATAACTACAAAAACCGCGACGAAGACGATGCCTTATAATGATACAGATGAAGAAGAGCAAAGCGATAATAAAGAAAACTCAAGTGAAAATGATATTCCTCTCTCTCAACACAAAAGAGCTAAAAAATCACTCTCGACGGCTAA